GCTGGTGGGAGGTGTCCTGCGGCTCCCCCGGTTCTGTGCTCATACGTGGTGGGAGTCGTTGGTAGTGTTCCTCCCGCTGTCGCCGTCTGATCTGGAGCGCGTGGTGGGAGTGGCCCCGCTCCACTTACTTCTCTCGTGCCTCGCGGATCCCCTATTCGGGTAGCTCTTGGAGTGTTCCCCCCAGATTGCTCATCTGGGCCATAGTAGGTTGCCGACCCCGTCGGCAGGTGCAGTAGCACAAGGCTCCCCGCCGCTAGGCAGAGCAGCGCAGTCCCCTTGGAGACCATGTTGTCGCTGCGGGCAGGGGCCTGTGGGTTCTGAGCTTTCGCTGCTGCGGGTGCCTCTGAGTTCATCGTGGCTGGCACGGCTTCACTTGCAACTGCATTGCTGGTGACATATACTGACAAGGAAGCAGGCAGACAAGCACAAGTACATGTAACTGTTCTCTCCCCTCTGCTGTTTGCATGTGGTTGGTGGCTCTCAGGTTGTCCCTTCATACGCTGTACCCTCCACAACCCGGCGAGGAGGAGAGGGCTCTCACGTGATGGCTGGCCTGCTTGTCGCCCCCTGTCTGCGCCTGTTGGGTGTGAGGCTGTCTTGGATGCTGGTTTGCTTCCCGGTCGACCACGGGACGTCGAAGCGGTCGACGAAGGATTGTGAAAGTTGGTGCCATCGTGCTCGGTCTTGGGCTGTTTCCCCCCAGTGTGTGCCTCCGACGCTCTCCAAGGCTCTCTCGACATCCGCTTCCGGGTTGAATCGTGCTGCGTGGTTGACTCTGCTGTTGCGTGGCTTGCTTTGTTCTTTGCGCCAGAATTCGAGGTTCTTCCACTTCAGCATGGCGTTAACCTCTCCCCCCCCTCTGGCCATGTGTCCCCACAGGGACCAGATTTGGTGTAGGATGAAGGAAGACCAGCGTTGCCACCCCCCCCCTCTGCATGTGGAGGCGTGCCATCCTGAGCGAGCGGATGTGCCAATCCGCCCACTGTTCAGTCGGTCTCCTCTCGATGTGGAGCATGCGCCTCAGGTGCTGTGCTTGCAAAGAGTTGGCTGCTTTGAGTAAGCGTTGGTTTGCTGGCCATGTCTCGGCTGCGTAGAGCGCGGCTGAGCGCACAAGGGTGGTGTATGCTGCTAGCCTGGCTTTGATGCTTATGCGGGCTAGGAGTATGCCTTTGTGTTTTGCGAAAGCATGTCGTCCCCTCCGGCTCATCTCTGCGATAATGGCTGCTATCTGCTCCCCGAATGTGATGGGAGAACCTAGGGTGGCGATGACTGTCTTGTAGGGGGCGCATGGGACTGTGGTACCAGCGATCTCAAGGGTACCCCCCCCTTCGGGCTGGCTGAACAGGATGGCAGTTTTGGTGGGGTGTATGTGGAGGCCGTCCTCCGCAAGTTCTGTCTCGAGGTTGCTGAGGAGGCGCTGCAAGTGATTTTTGTCTTGCGACCAGAGGTAGGTGTCATCTAGGAAGCTCCCCCCGGCTCGTGGCGGTGGTGGTCCCCCTTGTGCGTCCTGTCCTTGTGCCGGTGCTGCTTGTATAGCCGCCTGAAGGTCTCGGGCAACGATGGCGCCGAAAAGGTCAGGGGAGTCGGGGCTGCCTTGGCGTATGCCGTTGGTTTGGGGCACTGGGGTAATTTGTGTAGCCCACCGCGACATTGAGGGTGCGGGTCTCAAGGACGCTTAGCCACATTAGGGCTTCCCAAGGTTTGTCCCCCCCGGCGGCTGGGATTGGGCATCGGGTCGAAGCAACCCCCCCCACCCGTGCTGCGACAAGCTCTGACATACTATGCTGCCAGACACTATCGAACGCCTTTCGTATGTCCAGCTTGACCACCCATGTAGGAACGCCCCAGTCTTTCGCCATTTGTACGACTCGTCGAATTGTCGCCACCAGTTCCACCCCTTGCCTGCCGTGTCGGGCCCACTGTAAGGTAGCCTCCCCCCTGATGTTGGCTCCCCCCCGTGCCAGGAGGAGTTGTGCAGCAAGCTTGAGCAGGGTGCTGCTGAGTGTGATGGGTCGTGTGTCTGTCCACTCGAGTGGTGCGGGGACTTTGGGCAGTAACACCGTGATCCCCCTGTCGATGGTTTCGGGGACCTTGGACGTGTAGAGCATGTCGTTCATGATGTATACAACGAATCCCCCCCAAGCTTCATGGGTTAGCAGTGCTTTGGCTGCCTCGTGGGAGATGCCGTCGGGTCCAGTGCTCTTGTTGCTCCCCCATCGATGTGCTGCCAGCTGCAGTTCTGTGATGTGGAATGGTCGCCAAGGTGTGAGCTTGCACCGCCGGCGGAGTTGGTCGCGGAGCGTGGCGATGCGGGCGCTCCCCCCCGGGGGGACGGGCTTGGCGAAAATGGAGTGCATGTGCTTTCGGAGCTCGGTTTGCCAGTCGGGGTTGTCTTGTAGCTGGAGTTGCCATCCTCGGTGTGTTCTGGCTTTCTGTAAGGTGCGCAACGCTCTCCAGTCCAGTTGTGCGGCCTGTTCGGCCTGCTTGGTGCTCCACGCTCTATGCTCTTGTTTGTGCCGCTTTGCAATGGCTTTCCATGCTGTTCTGGCTAGGGGTCCGGGTGGGAGGTGCTGGGCGTCCCTGCGCATCCCCTTCAGCTCGGCGCTCTCCTGGAACTTGTTGTGTCCACTGCCGGGGACCGTGATCGCTTTGGCGAGGGTGGCCAGAACTTTGTGCGGGTCTTCTCCTTTCGGAGGTGGCACTGTCAGGAGCTGCTGGACTTGGTGTGGTGGGCGGAGTCGGCGGGGGCCCCACGTGGACCGGGCCGAACCCCCCCCTTTATGTGCGCCGATGGGTGCGGCGAAGCCGTCGTGGTCGGAGGAGGCCCTGTCGCGGCAGGGGATCACTGTTCCGGCCCCCGCTGTGATTCCCTTCACCAGGATGTAGTCCAGTCGTCGGGGCTGCATGGCTTGGTTGTAGGGGTGGTAGCTTGGAATGTGGAGTTGCTGTGGTGGTAGAGTGATGTTGTTCGAGCTTGCCCAGTCGAGCAGTGCTTCCCCCCGACCCGAGGTTGCATAGCATCCCGGCACATTAGTGAGGGGTGGCAAGAAGGATTCGTTAGCGTCAAGGCCCAGTAGGCAGCGCTTATGGTCGCCAAGGGTGTCTCCCCAGTGGGAAAGGATGGTCTCTGCTTCCGGAATGGTGGCATGGTGCGGGATGTGTCCCGCCAGTGTCCTGACAATTGTTTTGTCTGTGGTGGACCTCAGTGTGGTAATCACCCCTCCGGTTGTAACGCTGCTGTGGTGATGTGTGTGATGCTCGGAGGTGTGTGCTACCCCCTCGCCTCGGAACTCTCCCTCACTCTTACCATAAACAACTTGCCAAGTGTCTGATTCTGCATGAAAAAGGCCTTGCTCACAAGTGATTTCCTGCAGCAAGACAATAGTGACACAGTGCAGGTCCGGGCTGCCGTCGAAGGTGTCGAGGAGCTTCAGCAGGTTGTCTGCCGTGAGTCCCCCGACGTTCCACGTCATTGCCCAGGTTTGGCCGGGTTGATTTCCCCCCTCGGCCTGGGGGTGAGACTGTTCAGGGTGTGTGGTTCAGTTGATCTCCGCTTTAAGCGGAGACCAGGCGGCTGCCGTTGCCTCTCTGGTAGTGCGGGTAGCCTTGGCAATCGCGGCGATGTCGATCCAGCCTGGGCCTGCGTCCTCGGCTCCCCCCGGCTTCGGTGCCGTTGCCGAGCTGATCTTGATGCTATTGACCCAGGCTGTTCCTGTGCTGAACTCCATTTGCAGAGCTCCCTTGTCTCCCCCCAACGTCAAGTAGAGGCGCTTCACCTTTGCGGCGAGTCTGGCACGGCGGCGGCGATCTGGAGGTTGTGAGATCGCGATCCACACGCGCTTGGTAGTGCCGTCGGGCTTGCTCCCAAGCTGGATGTTTGCCCCCCGGACTTTGGAGATGACTTCTTGGATGCGGGTGCGGCGCCGGTCGAAGCTTTCCCCCATGGGCTCGTCAATCGGTAGAATGGCGTAACCACGGCGAACCCCTGGCACGAACAGCGGAGTTGTGTCAATGGGGGCCTCGACTGACGAGAACATCAAGGACCGCGTCTTTGGTGTCGGCAGCAGCCGAGTCTGGGTCCCATCCCCCGATGATTAGGGCAGGCTGGCGCGCACTGTCGGAAGGAGCAATGGTGCTGGCTGCAACCGAGGATCCCCCGCCTTTCTCTAAACGCTCCAGCCGAAGGTTCACCTCTCTGTTGGCTTCCTGCAGCTGTTGCAGGACATCCCCCTGCTGGGCATACTTTTGCGTCATGTCGTCGAGGAGATTCAGGGTCTGTTGCATCTTTTTGGTGACCTGGCTTTCCACGTTGTCCACTCGGTTAGAGAAGCTGCGGATGTCCTGCTTGACCTCGGAGAGAGCGTCCTTGAGTTCGCCTCGGATGGCCTCGCGAATGACATCCAGGTGCGAGGCGAGGTTCTCCCCTTGATCGGCTGCCCGTCGTTTCACGGGAGAGCTTCCAGTATGGTCCACTGGCATTTCTTGGCTCCCCTGCGCATTGGCCATTGTGTCGCCCCCAGGGAGAGTGCGAGCTCGCCGGTATGCAAGTAGTACTGCAGACTTGCCCTCCAGGTAGTTTACGACCCGATGCACTTGCGGAGGATCGTTCCCCCGGAGACGGCAGCGCGTAGGCTCGCCTTATTGTTCAGGTAGCTGGTCAACAAGTCCCCCACTCGCCTCGGAGAGCTGCGGTTCACGTGGGGCTCCGATCACACCGTACTCCCTGCAGTCAACTCCGAACACGAGGTCGCGTAGAGCAGCGATCGTGCCGGTGGACTCGATCGCTCCCCCTCAACGCTGGCTTTCCCTCTCAGTTAGGTTTTCAGGCCCTCTTCTTTCTGGGCGGGACGGCCTTGAACCACTCACGGCCTTGAGCCAAAATGGCTACCTCTCTCTCTCTCTCTCTCTCTCTCTCGCTTTGATGGATCAACAATGCTTGAGGCTGCGGAACCAAGTCCCTCCCGCAATTTACCGTTCGGTTGCAAGCATCCTCACTCGGCCTTGCCCTCCAAGAGCACCGGCTTTGGCTGTGGCAGGGCCCTTGGCCCTGGACGTTTGGCATGAGCCTCGAAGCAACACGGCAGCACTATGTGAAACAGGTTCCGGCATGGGTATGGATGCAGGCAACCACTGTGGCACAACTGGCATCACATGTGCTCATCAACGAAAAACGAAAACACTCCATGCGTGCGATGCCCTCATCGCTGCTCTGTGCCCTGCGCTGCTTATGTTCTGAGGCTCCTGCCACGGAGACCTCAGCAGGCGCCGGTTTGTCGGCACCTGCATGAATGCAGCAAGGTGACACTTGGGGGCCATTGCAAGAGACCCTCACACCCTCGCGCACAAGAAACGGGCCTGGCTGGCCTGGAGGCGATGAAGCCACGCTTTGCACTACCGGTTCCTTCCAGAGGCACGAAAATCCTCTAATTAAAGCGCTACCCAGTGTCCGTTTGTGGTTTCACCCCAGGTGCGGCCACCTTGTGCGTGCCCAACGGAACGGTCTTCACCTTTCGACAAGCTATGACATAATGCAATGCCGCATGCTGTGTCGTGCACGGTGCCTCGGGCTTGGCAAAAGCCGACGCCGCTGGAGCACTGCTAATTGGCGTGGTCGTCACCGGAGTAGAAGTCACGACCTCAAGTCGCGACTGGTACCGGCCGTGAGCACAAGCAACAGGCTGCCGATGCGTGCAGCGCAGTCTCAGTTCCGTGCCGTCACATCAAGGGGCTCTTTCTGAGCCTCGAACTTCGAGTTTCGTGGAGTGTGAAAGTGGAAGCAAGTGCCTCAGGACCCCTGCCTTCGCCGGCGCTGCTTTGGCCGGCTTGCTTTCGACGACCTGGCCGTGTGGCACAGGCTCAAAGTGCCCGGCGAGCCCTTGAGCCTTGAGCCCTGCAGGCGCCTCAGGCTTGGCCTGGGGCGAGGAGACAGGCAGAGTGGTGACCGGTGTGTCGGTCACCGGGGTATCGGTCACCGGCGTGGAGGCCAGGACCTGGCCCCCAAACGCAGCACCACAATCCTAAGCTTCGAAAGCCCCTGCTCAGAACACTGTCACCGTCGAGGTCGCGGCCACCACATCCGGCAGCTCTTTTCGAGCCTCGTTTGATTGAGTCTGGTCGGCTCAACGTGTCAACCTTCTGCTGCAGCTGCCGCATGCTAGCTGCCAGTCGAACACTCCCTTCGGTGACGAGCGCGGGACCGTGGAGGGGGGTGGAAGCGACGCCGGCTTGCTTTCGACGGCCTGCGCAGTCCCAGCTCGCTGTGCTCCCCAAGCTCCTCCCCAAAAAAACCTAGAGCATCGAACAAGTTACGACATCGGATGGAGCATGGTAGCCTTCGCCTCCAGCTTTGACTCAGCTATTCTCTGTGCACGAGCGGCCTCGGCACTCTCGGTGCTGTTCCGGAGCAAAAAACCGAGGAGTGTTCCGACTAGATCTCCGAGTCTACGAAACCTGCAAGCTAGCAATGGTATGGCCCACAGCGGTCATGTTGTGGCCAGCAAGAATCTGGAACGACCGCACGCTCTCCTTGTTTTCAGCGGTGTGTTCGTCTTGGGATCTGGCCGTAGCTTCGGCAGCCGCCGGTTTGACGGCACCTGGCGGCGCATGTAGAGATTAGAGATTTCAGACTGATTCTGATTCTGAGTGCCACTGCCTGCTGGCTGCACTGCCACTGCCGGCGCTGTGCCGGTGCCCACAGCTTCCTGCCCCAGCTGAAGCATTGCAGAGGGTTTGGAGAAGCACAGCCGTGCTGTGGTTCCAGAGCATAGTTCTTTCCTGGCTGCCTGTTCCCATGAGTTGAGTCCTTCTGGCTGAAGGCTTCCAGTGCTGCGTAAGCTGACTCTGCTTTCCGTCCTAAGCAACAATGCTTGAAACATGTCCTTCCACAGTCCAGGCAGCAACCGTCTAGGATCCCTGAACCTATGAGCTGCCGAGCGACTTTCTTGCTTCTCGGGCTGCCTGACACCTCAGCTTGAAGCGCACCTCACCAGACCAGGCAACCAGGCCAGATCCCGGTCCGGGACTGCCAAGCTCGGGACCGGGACTGGGACGTGCCACGGCCACGGCAGCTTCCTCAGCTGAAGCGGACAGAAGGGGAAGCAGGGGAGGTCGACAGCCCCCCGCAAAGCTGGCACCGAACTTTGCTTTGCTCAGGGGCATGAGGAAGACGCAGTCCCTCTTCCCGGCCCCCCGAACTCTCTTAAAGTGGTTTCTGCAACCAAGGCTCCGGTGCCTCTGCCACGCCTGGCCCAGACCGAAACTCTGCTGCGGGCAGAACTGCCTCTTAGCTATTCCCACTCGACAAGCCGAACTGGACAGATCGCAAACCTCATGCTTGTTGCAAGTTTGCGGACATGCCGGCACCATTTAACGGACTCGAGCTCCTGCCTTGACCTCTTCGGAGAGCTTCCTGCAACAGACTCGTCCAAAAGCACTGAGGTCAGCATGAGGAGGTGCAGGATTTGGATGGCAGGCTTGGTGCTCGAGATTGGGATACTCCTGCGATCATCCACTTAAGCCTGCCTTCGCTGAGCTAACTTGCGTCGGTGATCCTCCCTGCTGAATTAGCAATCTCTAGGGCCTCACTAGCATGTGATAAGCTCTGCCTCAGATTTCGGCGGCACCGAAGTCGGCACAGTGGGCACAGGTGTCACAGGCGCGGCCACCGGCGCAGGTGCCCCATGAGTCGGAGGTGCGGGTGCCAAAGGCAGAGCTGCAGAATTCGCTGGAGCACCTCCAGGGCCCGGTTCCTGCAACGAAGGAATTGCACGCACTTTGGCTTGCGAGATGCCGAGTCAGTTCTTCGCCGTCAAATATGCTCCAACTACGCTTCGCTTGAGCTTGGGCGACCTTTCATCAGAGAACACACGGGACATGCCCCTATCCTTTCACATCAACTCGAGTATCCCGGGACCATGTCCTTCTGCAACCGCCAAGGAGCCTCCTCAGCTGATCCATCGCATTATGGGGATAGGAGTCCCATATCACACAAGGAAGCGCGAGAGCATCTGAGCGTCGGCGGGCATCCCAGCTGTGGCGCTTCCGCTCGCTGCGGAAAGGCCAGGAAGAGCATGAAGCTCCGGAGCGGCCGGAGGGGTAGGCGCAGCTGCTTCGGGCGCCTACCATGCTGCCGTGATGCCATTTGCGGATCAGAGACACTTGTAGCCAAGCGACCACAATCATCGGCGGAAGCTCAGTCGCCGTAGCATCCGAAGCCTGCAGCAACAGCTTTCGACAATCGCAGGTCCAGGTCTCGGAGTCCCGCAATCTTGAACAGGAGGATGTGTTTGGGACTTCGTCGTTCTGGCTCAAACCCTGAACATAAACAGCAGGATCAAGGTCACAGATCTTTGGGGCTCGGGTAAGGTGTCATGGTGATCTGGTGCCCCAGTAAGCCCTTGCAATTCATCGGATTTTCAAAGTTGCTGTCACAATACAGCACATTGTTTGGACCGACCTCTTTCGCGGGTATGTCCACTGCTGGCACTGCACTGGCAGTCGTAGCTGCCTCACCACAAACTGCAGACATGACTTGCCTTATACGGCTCAGCCTTTTTGAGGACAAGCCGCTGCTGCAGGTGACACGGCTGCATCTGCATATGCCTTGTAGCAAAGGGGACACGCATCTGCAAGCCGATCCGGAGACAAGACTCTTGCATCCGTGGCACTGCTGCTACGGCCTTGGCTTCACTGTCTGGCATGCACAGATGACGAATGCTCTCTCGCACACGTTGGACCTCAATCCCTGAAAACTAGACACATGACAATGACGACACGGCAAGCATAACCTCGAGTTGAAAAACAGTCAACCGCGGCATTCTCGTCTACTGAAGCGACGTTTGCATTCAAGGCACTGCTGCTAGTGCTTCCGTCATTGCTGCATCACTGTATGCCTTGTCGCGGCGTCAGATGAAGACTTTCGAATCTTACTACTAGGGCCGGCTCCAGATGCCACTCCCTCCAAACTCTGCTGCAAATCCTGCAGAACCGTCGTGGTATGCACTTCCGTGCCACAGCTGAATGCATCTGTGCCACTGCTGTCGGCTGTGGAGCTGCATTAGCTGCGGCTGCCTCCTTGTATGCCTTGTGCAGCTACAACTCTGAATCACGCAACGTCCCTGTGACAGCTTCAGCTTCTGCTGCTCATGTCAGTGTTTCATGGGTTCGGCATGGTCCTCTCTGCCACAACTTCAAGACTTTCGATCGACGAGCCATGACAAAGGTAAACTACTGTCAACAACCGATGAACCAGCACATGCCGGACCAGTACCAAAAAAGGAAATGTCTCCTGCTCTTGGGCGCAGCATCTTTCGGCAGCGACAACTTGTGATTGCATGCAAGGCACTGCTACCAATGCCTCATTTGTTGCTGCCTCCGTGTAGGCCTTAGTAGAGCAGTAACAGATGGGCAGATTCACTATGAACTGGGGTGTGGCTGTCTTGAGATATCAGCTTCCCGATCCGCCAGTAATGCTGTGATGAAGATGCTACTTGCCTTTGCGCTAACATGCATCTGTGCGACTGCTAGGCATTACGGAGCGGCATCTGCTGCAGGTTTGTTCGCCTGCATTTCTTCGAGTTCTCAGCAGCGGCAGCAGCAGCATCACCATCATCATGGAGGATGTGAAGGAACAGAACCAGTCGACAGAATGCCCAAAAGATGCTTTGACGTAGACTCTGGGGCACAGCATCTTCCAGCAGAGACAACCTTTGCAGGCAAGGCACTGCTACCAATGCCTCATTCGTAGCCGACTGAAAGTCCGCCTCACAGCCACGACATGTCGTCGCATATAGTGCGGCCTCTACTCTGATTTATCTGTCCTCTGCCAACGCTCCAAGAGCAACCGAAGGACTTCTGAGCTACCAACTACAAACCCCTTGGACTTAAATTGGAAACTCAATGACGCATTCGGCGTCCATTGTAAGGACATGGGACAGAGATGATTTGAAGCTACCGAATCCGGAACCCGCGTGGTGCATCTTGGCCACGGTGGACAATTGCGGAGCCGCATTTGCTGCAGTAGCCCCCTTGTAAGCCTCGTCAGACAAGTTGTCGCGTCAAACCAAGCCTATTCCATGCATGGGAAATTCCAACTGTTCACAGGACTTTCTATTATAATCCTGCTTTGACACTGCAGCTTTCACATTTAGAAACTAGGATCAGACACAAAGGAAAGTAGCTCTCATCTTCGTTTCTAGGAACCCGACAAACCAAGAGGACTCGCCAACCAACCATTGACCCTGCTTGAAAGTTGCAGCCAAGCCTTAACTGACAATATCTCTGTATTTCTCGTACGTGATTCATTCTGCGCGCTGGTCTTCAGAACATGCATCGGGGCAAAGTGCCAGAAGCAAACTTGGCAATCAAGGCACCGCAGCTAGTGCCTCACTCGTGGCTGCACCCGTGTATGCCTGACCGCTCAAAACGATTGGACATGCACATGATGAAAACCTGCTCTCCACGGACTCTGCCAGAGATCAAGTCGTCCCAGACATTTCTAGTGTCAAAACTTTGACGTTTTTTTAATTTAGAATCGAATCATGAACTTGCTGCAGGCTGCAGGCTCAATCGGAAGGATTACACTGCAACTGCGCCACGGCTAAAGAGGGAGCTGCATTCGCAGCAGCCGCTTCCCGGTATGCCTTGGATGGCTTCTAAAATCTTGCTGCAGGAACGCCCCACTTCACCTCAGAAGTATACGACTTACCAGTCCATGTTCCTACGGTACTGATAAGAAGTCAACAACGACAAGGCACCGCAGCTAGCGCCTCAGCATTCGCTGCATCTGCATATGCCTGACTGGCAGTCTTATGACTTTTTGCTTGTCGACAGACGTTGCAGCATGCAAAAGCGGCCGGGCGGTCCTGATAATGACTTTTAGTTGACAACATGGTACAGGCACGGGCGCTTGCGAGCAAGGCACCGACGCTAATGCCTCGGCGGATGCTGCCTCCGTGTAAGCCTCACAGATGCACAAACCTAGACGTGGCTGATTCGACTTACATGGTGTGTTGAACAGAACAATGCGCTGAACTAGCTGCTTCGAACCAGCACAAAACTTGCTTCCATGCGACTGCTAACGCAGGAGCTGCATTTGCGGCGGCTGCTTCCCTGTACGCCTCGCTTAGTTCACAGGCTGCATGGCTCCAAAAGCGTACCATGCGATGTATTAGGTGTCTTAGCATTCGCAGCAAAGGCCGATGGCTTCTGAGCCTGAGCAAAGACGCCTGGAGCAGCATCTTGCATGCGCACGTTCACGCTACGTACTCGCATCCAAGTTGCTGCTGCCAGTGCCTCAGCCGTGGCTGCCTCCGTGTATGCCTCGGAACTGAATGTGGCGACGCGACAGAAGTCACTAGATACTGTCCAGGTGCTTTCGGCGAGTGCCGTGAACCAACAGCAAAATGACAGCTCGGGAATGCGATTGTCTGCCCAAAAAACCGTCGTTTGGTGTTAAAGACCTCCAAAAGCCTCTGCGCAATTCACGAGACTTCCAAACTGGACGCTGCAGGTAGGAACACCGACGAATTTGAAAAGGAGCTAGTCTATTGACCTTAACATCGAAGGAGAGTCTTGATTGTCTGAACACAAGCTCCTCCTGGGCGGCTGTGACGTGAGAATGATACCTACTCAGAAGCAGAGCACGAGGATCTACATCAATAGCATGCGACCCATGGAGACCAGTATCGAGGACGACGAAATAGTAGAGCTGTCAGTAGTTTTAACACCTACAACAAGTGCCATAATAATATAATGGTAGTACGGAATAGTAGTGGTGGTGGCGGTAGAAGGAGGTTCAAGTGGAAGAGGAAGATCAGCAGCGGTAGAAAGCGATCCGAGCCGCCGCTGCTAATGCCGGAGCTGCGTTGGCCGCAGCTGCTTCTCTGTATGCCTGGGTCAAGAAAACCCTGTACTTTCGAGTTTGGGCACAAAACGAATATTCAGCACAACACCAAGGCGAATCTGCCCGGCTTCGATCGTGACCACAGTCTAACAGCGAATGAAGCGAATCCAACAACTTCAAGTCCCAAGTGTAGCAGCCACCAAAAAGTGCTCCCTGCACACGAGGCTCTGCTGCTAATGCTTCAGCAGCGGCCGCCTCCGTGTATGCCTTTCAGTTGACGGGTGCAACATCACATTCTGGCATCTAACAATCATTCAATCGTCTTTCTTTTGTGCAGGGGCATGGCCACAGTACCCGAGCAAGTGCAAAAATCACCGCTTTGGGAGTGCAATGCGCCTGCACATCACAAATGTTCCTATTCCTGCATCAAGGCCACTGCTAAAGCTGGAGACGTGGCGGCAGCTGCTTGACTGTATGCCTCAGGGTTCATACCGACGATTCCGGCGCTGTTGGCCAGTGCCGGCAAACAACATGCAAGTTGCGAAACACACTTCTCCTACAGATCTCGACATGAAGGCCCTGCTTTTCATGCAAGGAGCTGCTGCGACTGCTAGCGCCTCAGCCGTAGTTGCATCCGCATATGCCTTGCAGCTACAAGTGTCCTTCATGTCCCCATGATCTGTTCCCCTGCCACCCCCGTCCCACTGCTCAAAGTGCTTTTCATCTCGCTACATCCTAGATCACCCGCTGCTGGGATTCTTCTACAGTGCAGTGGCACAGTTCACCATGCAAACGAAAGCAGCCGTAATGCCCTTCTTGGGCTTACCGTAACTCGACCCCCTGAACTGTGGGAGCCTTGCTGGAACCCTCTGACTGTAACGCTGCTGCCCGCCTTGCCAGGCGAATGCGGGATAGGTCCCGGCGCTGGCGGTGGTGGACTGTCACAGAAATCACAGGCATGGAAGAAATTTGGAGTGTATACCCTTTGGCTGAGCTCTTTCTACCCTGAACCCACACTGGACAAGCCGAACCGAAATGTGCTCCTGAGAAGGCCAAAGTCATGAACTCGGCATCCCTGAGTCACTTGCTGAAACAGAAAACCCATAAGCCTCTGAACACTCTGATTTCAAAGCAGAGGCCTTTCCGAAAGCTCAACTACAAGTACGGGAGACTGAAACACTGAGAGGACGGCAACTCAGTCAAGAAGCCCGAGCCCGAGCGGTTGGCGCCTGCCCTTCGGTGGGATCGTCGACACGCCACGGCGTTGTGGCACGTGAACCTGACAGGGCTGATGCACTAGAAGCGGGGATCCGCTTGGTCTCGAAGTTCGGAAGAGCAATGAGGACGCTTTTTGCCACTGTTCGCGCATGCTCTACTGCCTGACGTGTAGGTCACGGCAGCTTTCCCTGTCTCTTTCTCGCATTTAGGCTCGTATACAGAAAGGTCTTTCGAGAGGAACCAGGATTCATCGTCTACCACTTTGCAGCTGTCGACAGATCTGAGGAGCTCTCTCAAGAGTGGAGCAGAAACCGTCCAGCGTTATGCTTGCAGGATCTCTTCCGCACCCAGGCCGGATTGGTCCGAAAACCTCTGCAACGCACAGTACGCACATTGCAGTGCCCAACGTCCCAAAATTCTGAGCTTAGCCCAAGGTGCAGGTGGAACTGGACGAGCCGACCCACCGTCAACTCTGTCACCCCGACGAGATCAGCCTAAGATGTCAAGAAAGGGATGCTCCGGCTGTGGAAACAGAGGTTGCCAGACATTTGCGCACCGTCAACAGCCAAGGCACTACGCTGGCGAAGATCTTGCCGCCGTGTCTCGATGCCTCGAACGAAGCCGGAACACGGAAGGTCGAGGGAGGGAGAAGGCAGTAGAGCAGCAGATTCACGGAGCCTTAGCCTATAGAAAAGTCAACCGAGTCCCTTTCGGTTCAGCATCCTGCCTGAAGGCTTTAAACCTTCTTCTTGAAGCTCGGTCTTGGTATAAGACTTTGCGGTTGGCTTTGAGGTAGTAGTTTTGGAGTTTTGGATAATGGTCAGCTCGTCGATAAATCTATCAGCATGTCTCGTTTGACTTACTGCAGGCGGTCCTTCTCATGCTGGATGGGCTCCTGTGGCTTGAGCCATCCGTACCTCGGACACGCGTCAAGCACTCAGGGCAGGAACCATGCAGGCTGCCTTCCAGTGCACGGGTGAGAGGCATTGTCGCACACTCCACGCAAAAGCGTGGCAAAGCAATGATTCACAGGCTAGACAGACGCTCCCCAAGACTCATTCCTCAGGCTAGGTGCTTGCCCTTCCACTCAAGCACCTCTCCGATCATTGGTGTTTCGGAAATTCTCTCCTTCAGTCCGCATGACTTGAATCATGCTCGCAAGCTTCTTCTCAGATCTCATGCAGCCACTGAGCACGAGACTCTGGGCAGTGTGTGGCCTTTGCCACGATTTGGGTTCTTGCCCTTGCCCTTGCCCTTCATGCCTTCGAAACAGCATACACTTTTCTCAAAGGACCTTGGCTTAAGGCCCCTGCGCTTCTCATCTAGGGGAGCGACCCTTCATGAAGGCTGCCATCATGGCCCTTGGAAGCTTCACTTCCACATTCGCCCCAGGCAGCTGGTCAGAATCAGGGGAACTCTAAACTTCTGAACGCTTCAACACATCTTCCCATTTAGGAGGCTGTTGGCTTCATGTGTATGTCAAGCGAAGCTGTGAATTGCACTTGCCAAGTCGCATGGGGCTTTTGCCGCCGAAGCCCCAGCCCTGTCAAGAAAGCCCAGTGACTACACCCTTTCCACAAGTGACTTGTGCGTCCTTGCCTTTCCACCGCCGCCACCACCACCCTGCCAATCCTGCTTCATCTGCGCCTGGAGGAAACTGTTTGAGCATTGCCACTTTCGACAACTCTACACTGCAGGCCTGCCAAACTGCCATGATGGCACGGAACGCTGCGGCTGTAAAACCGGAAGCAAGGGCCAAAACTGCTCTGGTGGCTCGAAGATCACTTGCTAGTTTTCAAATGAATCAATGCCATGAATGTAGGCACAGCATGGCAGAGAGCGATGCCCAAAGCTCCCAATGAGCCTGGACATGGACGTTGGGCGGCCTTATCGCCGCCGAGTGTCCCGCCTAGCACATTCAGCTTAGGATCTTACATTACAAACCATGCCTTCATTCTACAACGGACCACTCGGATTCAGCGAGGTGCAGAGAGTGCCTTCGGAGAGACGAGCTCCGGCTGCTTCGGTACGTCCCGTACCCGTGGGGGCACCACGACCGGAGTTTTCCTCAAACTTTCAGCATGCAGCATGCTGTCAAAACAAATCTTTACAGGGGACAGCCACAGACAGTTCCATAAGGCCAGCTGATTAGCTAACACACTAAACGCTGATCTCAGTGGCAGCGCCTTGCCACGACCGACGTCAGACTGAAGAAAACTCCCATTACAAATCCAGCAACACAGCAGACATCAGCAAACCACATCTTACCCGGTTACCAGGGCCTGCTTTCGAAAGCATTCTGGGGCCACCGCGCAGGGACCGCAGGCCCGGCAGGTCTCGCAGGGCTTGTCTTGGATTCGTCCTTCCTTAACAACACCGCAACATACGGCAACCAGGCCTCACAGCCCTAACGGCCCTAACCGCCTGCTCACAACTCCGAGACAGTCCGTTCTCAAGGCCCTTAGTAATTGTATAGATCTTCAGAAGCCTTCAGAAGCTACACAGAAGCAGAGTGCATTCTGCCTCTGTACGACTCTATACTCACCATTCCAGTCATGCCAGGTGACGAAACGCCTCCTGCGGGCTGGAGAGGCATCGTGCCAACCGCACCCATGCCCTTCTTCTGCCGCTCCTGATCAAGTCTGTACTCTTCAATCGTTCTGGTTTACTTCGGTAACAGGAGTTGTGCCCAGGCGTGAGCTGCACATGGAGTGTCCGCACAATTTTCCGGCCTTCTCAGCGTTCTTCTGCGCCAATGCCTGTGCAAGTGCCTCCGAGCATGCTTGACTTCTGGCACTTCGTGCCCTTCTGACTTATCCTTCAACTAGCAATGACGTTTCCGAAAGGAGACGGGGAAAGATCCCAGCCTGGCCCAAATGCTTGGGGTTGATGGCACCCGGACGGGCCATCGGCGCCGGGTTGAGCCTAAGAGACGTCATCTACGCATCATCCACGCAACATCAGCTATCATGTTGCTAATGCAAATAGACTTTAGAAGCTCTGAGAGGCCAACGCTGCCGCAGGAATGACCTCTGCCAGAAACAAAAAGACGCCGCGGTGAGTACTTTGGGGTGCGCGCAGGCGCGCGGGGCCTCTGGCAAAGGCGGCAGCTCTGGACGGTCAACCCCGTCGCCCTCCTTGCTCTCAGCGTCCTCCATACTCAAAGAGATGCCATCAAACTTCCCGATAGCCCAACGATGCCTCCAGCAGCTGGTCGCAACAGTGAAAGGCAAATTGCATCAGAACTCAATGACTCGTGGTACAGCAGAAAGACTGCGAATCAAAAGAGCTTAAAGCGATGTACCCAATGTATCATGACATGCATTGAAAAGCAAGGGAAGTGTTCCATCCAGCAACGACTCACTGTCCTAGGCCGCATTGCCCTGAAGCTGCCAGGGTTTGTCAGGAGAGAAAAAGCAAAGTCTCACACTTGATCAAACAGCTTGTCGATCATGCACAGAAGTGGCCCAGATGAGAGGACCGACGGAAGGCCCAACCGCCGGATGAAGAGAAGGCGCGGACAGAACGCGGACGATGTCCCATGTCTCCATGTCACCACCCACTCGGAGATCTCAAACCTAAGAAGGCCTCAGCTCGTATCTGCTCCCGTCCTGGGCTGCGCCGGATCGCATGGCCTAGATGCGGACTATGCGGCGGTAAGCTTTCGGCGTTGAAGCGTTTTGCTTCGGGTTCTTGGCCGAGGATGTAAGATCGGAGAGCTCCGCCGCAAACACTGCGACTCTCTATGCTTGGTCGATTAGTTTCCACACTGCTCCTGAGCAGCACTTCCCAATCAGACAAACCTGAATCCCTCGAATCCCGACCCCTTGCAAAGATCCACTCGTACCAAAAACCAGTGCTCAAGCAACAACAAACCCTGTGACACAGCACCAAGGCCGTTGCTCCGCCGAACGGGACCTTGCCTCCTGCATCGACAGGTCATTTGGCCAAGAGGTGACTTGAGGGCTTCCGCAAAGGGGTATGTGGCACGCTCCAGTGAACCAAAAGCTTTGTACGAAGAGGGTCCGATTTCAGTTACTAGCATAGGGGCCACACTACGCATCTACAAACAGCCCGCGACGAAACTCGTGCCAGCGAAACTGAGCATGTTTTGTGATGCGTCGGAACTTTTGCTTTTCTGGCGCGAAGTTGCACAGTCGGTCGATCAGAAATCCTGCATCACCTTCACGGAGTGGGGCAGCCACGAAGAAGTTTCCCGGCGTTGGCTACGGACCTTGGACTCAAGGCGACAGAGACTGGAGCTAGGGGAACAAATCGCGAAGGAAGTCGTCGATGTCATCCTCCCGACTCCGAATGTTCGGGTCGGGGCCTTGCCAGGCCAACGTCTCAAGGAGTCGAAGGTCTGCTGCTGTTGGGGCTTCGACAGATTGAGATCCATCCATGGGAGCTGCATCTTGCTCCGCTTCCGGTGCATCTTCGTCGCGCTGTCTTTCATTTGTCCCGTCTGCTGCATCAACATCCTGACTCAATTGCTTCTCCGTTCTCGGCACCGCCTGCGCCTCCTTTCGCTGCCGCTTCCGCGCCTTCTTGAGTCGCCGGTAATGCAGCTTGAAGGCGCAATCCTGACATAACCGCACTTTGACCAAAGCTCGCTTGCGGTGCTCTTCGACATATGCGAAGTCAACTTCGTAGCTTTTCAGCTCGTTTCGGACGGAGCAATGTTTATGGCCACAGCTAAACTGCCCTCGACCATTGAGCACCTCCGTTTCTGTGCGCCAACGGAAGCCCACTCGACCATCGCGATAACCAGTCAAATCGCAGATCACATACTCTTTGAACAATCGGTCGTAGTACCTGCGTGCCAGCCTTGACTCCCATGACACATCGTCTGCTTCACTGCCACGCAAAAACTGATGATTTTCTCTCAAGATGTCATAGTCGGATTTCATCCTAGTTATCTTTGACTTCTTCACGAGCTCCAGCAATGCTTTATGGTATTGAAGACTTGGCCGAGGTCGCGTCTCGGCCGCAGTCGGCCGCTGCGGCAAATCGATGCCAACCCGCTTGCGTGCACGGCCGTAAGAACTTTGCTGAATTCCGTAGTCACGGACCTCTGCTGCCGTACGCTTCCGCGTGGGACGATCTCCGGGAAGCTCACCGTAGCCGTAAGGGAGAGACGCCGGACCAAACTCGTCATCAGAGCCATAGCCTGCCGCGCTGGCACCGGGCATGGCCACATCTCCCAAAAGGGCAAGTGATTCCTGATTCTGAAAACTCGCAACAGTTTTCCAGCAGAATAGCAAGCTACACTTTCAATCTTTGGTTGCAGTTTTTGCAAGCCAAAACATGATCGAGCTGTAAGCAGGTTGGGCAAACACAACAATGCAACATACTGCTGAGGACTCTAGGCTTTGCACTCAACGATTTCTGTTTCAACTAGAAACTGGCATGGCCTGGCACTCCATATCTTTGTTGCCCAGACCTTTGCACGGGAAACACCATGCAAGCCCTCGGAACTTCCGACGACGTCAACTCCAATTGAGGGCCGAGCTTCGCAAAGGGTCTATTGAACACATGCTGCATCGTCCCATCGTCAGCACTTGCTGATCAGTCCATCTTCGAAGCTGTTATGGCTGCGGTTCTTCGTGATTCTACCGCACAATATGCCATCTCAGACGTGCGTACAACATTGGGAAAGCAGGACTCACAAGCTGGTATTCAAACCGATCTCGTTTGATAGTACTCAAACTTTAAATAAGCTCAAAGAAAACACAACCGGCATCTAACTGAAAGAAGCTGCCGATTGGAAAAGGCAACATGCAAAAACATTTCATTCGTTTATTTTGTGGGTCTTCGGGCTTCGACGTGCATGGAACTGTTCCGGTTTGGGAAACCATTAACTAGACTCGACTTACAATTATCAAAACCTCGGCAACAACAGGTTTTCAAAATACAACTATTGAAACACAGAGTTTAAACAACGTACAAAAGAACACAACAATGAACACGCAAAAACTTTAAGAACAAGACGTGCCGAAAAAAACACACCTTTCTCCTGCGTTGATAATTATTTCCCATCGATGAGAATATCAAAGTTCACCAAGAAACGAATTATCCCCAGGAGCCCAGCTATTTCCCGTCAATGTACTAGTTTGCTTCTTTGTGCCCTACGTTATTGATAGGGGAGCAGAAGGCTGCGCAGAACCAAATTTTGAAGGAAGGTTTCTCCGTGATCGCAACTCACGCGTGCAAAAAAAAAACATGTTCAGGGGTCCTGTTTTGGTGCCGAAAAGCCTTATAGAATCGGTGCCCGATTATTAGGAGCCCCCCCCCGTATGTTCCTTTTCTTCTGATTTTCCGGGGGGGGTAAGGGTCGTTTCCTTCAGCACCCTTGAGGCTCCTCTTTAAAGCCCCGCTGAAGCTCTTAAAGCCTTCAAGCCCCTTTGAAGCCTCCTTAAAGCCCCCCTTAACTGCCCCTGAAGCTTTCTTAAAGCTCTTAAAGCTCCCAAGCCAAGAAACGAAAAAATGAACGTGTTTGGCAACATACAAGAAGGAGAATCCACACAAAGCAGTTTAAGCCCCACCTTTTCTTCTAAACTTTCCACTTCCCCCAACTCCCCGCTTTTTATTAGGCTCTTTCAAGTCGCAAATCAACACAAGAAGAAAAGTGAGAAGAGGACTTGTCTTCCGCAGTGGCAAATCTTGCACGAGAAGTTGAGCCATTTGCTTTCGACGTTTTTTTTCGAAGCCGACGATGGACAACTTTTGTTTTTCAGCTAAATCAACGGCCCACCTGACATCCAGTTTTGGACTCGTGGATTGGCAAACAAAGTAGACATGGTCGCAGTGGCAAGGCGGGAACTTAGAGTTCTGAGCCTGCTTCTGGAACTCGAAATCCAGAGTGCCCCCAGAGTTCGAACATAGAAGTTCCCTGCGAGACAACCCCAGATTCGAACTTAGAGTTCAACTTCCAGTTCAACTCAGCTCCGGATTCAAACAAAGAAACTCCAAACCTGCCGAAGTTCGACCCTGGGTTCGGGCAACTGTGTTTCAACTCCAGGTTCTGGAACTCTTCGAACTCCAGGTTTCTCTGTGTTACTTTTCAAGCGATTTCGTTTGCTTGGAGCCTTGTTTGGTGATGCATGCTCTCAATCAAGGTTTACGGATTTTGTTTTACCAATTGTTTTTCCTCTCGCTGCGTTTGATATGAAAAAATCACATACATTGCATGGCAGCCACAGAGTCAAGCGGCTCTTGCTGTGTGGTCTGTTTCTTACTCATGTGCGGTTGCTGTGTGGCATTGCCCCTATCCTTCTCTTCGCTTGCTGTGTGGTCTTCCTTCTTTCTCTTGTGCAGCGGTTGCTGTTTGGCATTGCCGCTATCCTCTTTGCAGCGCTTCCTGAGTGGTCTTGCTTCTTTCTCATGTGCAGCGTTTGCTGTGTGGCGTTGCCCTTTCTCTACTTGCAGCACGTGCTGTGTGGTCTTGCCTTTTACTCAGGTGCATTGGTTGCTGTGGTTCAGCGGCTGCTGTGTGGCATTGCCCCTATCCTTTTTGCAAATCCTGCTGTGTGGTCTCATTTGTAACTCATGTGCAGCGGTTGCTGTGTGGCCTTGCCCCTTTCCCACTTGCCACGCTTGCTGTGTGGTCTTCCTTCTTTCTCATGTGCAGCGGTTGCTGTGTGGCATTGCCCCTTTCCTCTTCGCAGCGCTTGCTGTGCAGTCTTGCTTCTCTCTCATGTGCTGCGTTTGCTGTGTGGCATTGCCCTTTTCTTCTTGCAATGCTTGCTGTGTGGTCTTGCCTCCTTCTCATGTGCATTGGTTGCTGTGTGGCATTACCTTTTCGAAACGCTTGCTCTGTAGTCTGGCTTCCATCTCATGTGCAGCGGCTGCTGTGTGGCATTTCCCCTTCCTTTTTGCAGCGCTTGCTGTGTGGTCTTGCTTCTATCTCATGTGCCGAGGTTGCTGAGCGGCACGGCCCCTTTCCTCTTCGCAGCGTTTGCTGTGTGGTCATGGTTCTATCTTTAGTGCAGCGGTTGTTGTGTGGCATTGCCAGCCTTTTGCAGCGCTTGCTGTGTGGTCTTGCTTCTTTCTTATGTGCAGCGGTAGCTGTGTGGCATTGCCTGTATCCTCTTCGCTACGCTTGCTGGCCTTGCTCTTTCTCAGGTAAAGCGGCTGCTGTGAGGCATTGCCCTTTCCTATTGCAGTGATTGCTGTTTGGTCTTGCTATAACAGCAGTGCCGAGCTGCCAGGGAGATTCAACATACGCATTTGAAGAAGTGCCTATCCGCAGCCATTTTTTTACGATGCTGGGATACCTGTGATCTCACTCTGATTTGAATAGTCTGAAGAAAGTGGGACGCTTTTGCAAATGCGTCCTGTAACCCTTGAGCTTCCCAGTATGTAATTTTGCCAGCCTGGCAGACGCAAGTCTCCGGATGCCCATTCTTGGCTGGCGTTGGAATCGGACTCACTCAAACAGACATGCAGCCTGAATAGCCGGCTCTCTTATTCCTAACCGCGGCGGCCACTGCGGCCACCTTTTCGTGGTTTTGCGGCTTTTGACGAGGCCGCGAATCGGTCAGGCTGGTGCACATCACTCTGATTCGGTTTCTCCTCCCACCAGTGTTCGCGGGGCATCAAGCTATTTGCAGGTTGCAGAGTCCGAGGCTTTTTGCTTATGAGCTGTTTGGAGGGAAATCTGCTGAGACTGCGGCTTGCTCCCCCCAAGCTCGAAGGGCATCCGCACGCCCGGTGCATGTAGAGCTTGAAGGTCGGCTACTTGATCAACCGGTGTCGTTTAAAAGGCATCCTGTTGCTCATTTTGCCTGCAAGGTTTTATAGGTGGCATTTGGGGATTGTTCCTTGTTCGAGCTGGTAGGCTTCCTACTTCTCAGCCGGCCGTAGTATTGATGCTCTCGTTGCTTGTTCGTCAAATGGTTCTCGCAGACATCAAACCCCTGGCAGCCAGCGGCGTGTGACGGTTGGCAGCTTGACCAGTCTTGGTAAAAATCCTACCGCAATTCGACTGCAGGATTTGAGGTTTGGTTGCCATTTCGCAGTTGTTTTTTCTACAAGTGATCGGTTTACGGTTGCTGGCTGGCTGCTTGTTCAACCAGAGCCTGGAGGGCATCCACACGCCCTGCGGCCGCGGAGCCAGATGGATTTACAGATAGGTATTCTTCTTGTTTGCTGGAACAGCATAAAAGGAATTGTCCCAGGGGTTGTTGACGTGTGACATGGCTGCAGTAGCTAATTTCCCCCACTTGAACTCTGTGATGGAGGGGGGCAATGACGTTTCCGGAGCCCCCCTGCGAAGTCGAGAGGGGCGTGGGCGGCAGGCTGCACCGTATGTGCTAGTCGGTTCTCACTCACTCACTCACTCACATTTCAAGACGTCCACGCTCCAAATCCTGGTGATTTGCAGCTCACACGAAACATGTTTGGATTGTCTTTCGGACGGGTATGTTAATTTATATGCTGATCTTTGTCGGGGTCCGGTATTTGTGGTTGGTTGCTTCGGGGTTTGTATGATTGGGACCTCGGTGCTTTAGAGCTGGGGGGTCTCGGGCATTGTGGTATTCGGGCCAAATGCTGTGGGGTATACTTCGGCATTTTTTTCAGGCCCGCCTCGTCATTATCGTCGGCCGCAGGGCCTGTGCACGACAAGAAGACAAGCAGGAAGAGCAACCGGGGCTGTTTCAAGCAACTGCCTTCCAGGTCTGCATCGGCTGTGGCGCTAGGACCACGTTCACACCCACCTGCCAATGAATCATGCGCAAGAGGCAGAGCAAATACAAACCACACAAACACACACCAATCGAAGCTTTTGCCTTGCGAGTCTGCATTGATGGCAACGGCGATAGGGCCTGCCCGCAACAAAGAAAGCAGCCAATCGACACCGCTCAGGCCACTGCCTTCCACGTCAACATCAATCAGAACGTGAGTCGGCAACGTCACTCCCAGCAGGTCCCAGCAGCGCTTAGGCTTGCTGGCTCAATGTAGGCTGGCTCGTCTATCAGTAGCAGTTGGACGTTCTGACGATTGCACACAGCCAATGGTCGGTGTGGAGTTCTCCCAAGTTCTGGGCCGACAAATCGAAAGTTGCGACGACTGCCCGTCCACAGAAAGACTAGGAATGGGGAAAAACGTTCGTGGCAGATCTCGTTCCTTTCACGATCTTTGGGCGACCTTGCAGGGCTCCCGGTTCCTTTTCAGGAACATGGCATCTCCGACGCCGTCAACAACAACCCCGGCATGCACACGGCGGTCAAAATCAGCAAGATCCATGTTCTCAGAATCCTCTACTCTACTGTCACCTCGAGAAAGTCCTTCAAACCCAACTTGTTCGCCACCCGCTTCAAAGTGTTGGCAGCCAGCATGGATTTACCCGAGCGCGTGCCGCCCACGATTGCAAGTATTGGACGGCGGAAGCGAGGCTGTCTGTCGTGGCAGGCCACAAACTCCTGGCGGAAGCGTTACATCAACAGAATTGCTTACAGCGCGAGTGCGATGGTGGATTTCGAACTTAAATCTAGCAATCTAGCAAGCCCAAGCTCCACCTCGACTGTCAACTTTCCAGCCTTGAGAAGGTTGTCCAGAGTTGAACCTGCGCTGCGACCAGACCCGGAACAGCTGCACCGGCAAGGCCTTCCGAAGCCCACCCGCCGTTAGAAACACATCCGAAGCTCAAATCCCTTTTCCCCAAGCCTCATTTCTCGGTTTCGAACCACCCCAAAGCCATTCTAAGGCCTGTCTTCTTGCACAAATCACCTGAAAACAAACACATCCGACCAAAATCCGAAACCGTCCGAAGCCGTATTCCCTCGGTTTCAAAGCCTTTCGTGAGGCCGGCGTCATACACAAATTCCTTGTAAGAGACACATTTTCGAGCCTGCATTCGAGGCCGCCCGAGGCCGCATTCCCTCGGTTTGGAAGCCTTTTGACGCCTCCCCGAAAGCCGGATTTCACTCCAATCGTCTTATACCGGATTCCTTCCCTCGGTTTCGAAGCCTCTCCGAGGCAGGTGTTTTACGCAAATTCCCACACAAGAGACACCCTGCTACTACTACTACTACTACTACTACTACTGCTGCTACTACTGCTGCTACTACTACTACAATACTATTAATACTATTTCTGCTATTAATACTATTAATACTATTAATACTATTAATACTATTAATACTATTAATACTATTAATACTATTAATACTATTAATACTATTAATACTATTAATACTATTAATACTATTAATACTATTAATACTATTAATATGTTCGTGTAGCTGGATGCGGCAGTCTTGTTTATGAAAGGCTCTTGTAAGAAGAGAGGTTAAGAAGGCTTTTCTTCCGCACTGTCCTGATCCTAAGAGAGAGGGATGTAAAGAACGTCATGTGCGAAGCATGTATGCTTGGAGGCGGTGTGCACAGAGGCCCGCTGAACGGAATCATGGCTCAAGACATGAAAAGGGCCACTGAAGTGAGAGCTGCGCTCGTTGGTAGGTGGGCCCTGCCGGAATCTTTGGGTTCCCTTTTGTGTGTTTGGACTTTGGAAATTTGGGGATTAGTTAGCCTGAGATATAGGCTGACTTGTTCCTGTGGAAAACATTCTTCGGAGAAGACGAACCGTTGGTGCTATGGCTGCTCCCCCGACTGAACCAAGCTTTTCAAGCCAACAGGTTATGACTGCCCAAGTTACGGAAGCTACTCCGCTGAGTAGGGGTGTCGGCCACAGCACACTGGAAGGAGAACTGAGGGGCCCAGATTATGGTGGCCAGCAGTCTATGCCGCCACAGCTGCCGAACGGAGTGACAAGGGCCTCTCCCACGTCTTCTATGCGCACGGTGGAAGGTATAGAGTCGTTGCCTTACAGTCCTGCAGTGGATTCTTCGACCAGACCGGGTCAGGCTTTTTTCCAAGAGGCCTGGCCAGCCCAACCGCGAGACCCCGATGTGGGATCATCGGAATCCAGAAGTGGAGAAGGTGTACCAGCAGCTTTCAGGTGGGTGCATCGACTTGGTGATTTTCTACGTTCGCACTCTGCTATGGAAACCTTTACAACGATGACAAGGCAACAGCTGGTGAGTCCAGCTAATGGTGGCGGAGGTTTCGTGCTGCAACAGCAGAGGGTGCAGAGGACAACATCGCCTACGGCATCCCGTTCTGGAAGGCAGTTGGATGGAAGTGCGACCGACCAAGGAGGAGGTCTACCATTGCCGGTGGAAGAGAGTCCGCCGTTGTTCGGACGAGCAGCAGCGAGGAGAATGGAGGAGTGGGCAGCGCAAGCTCCGCTGCTTCATGGATCCAGTTCTCGACCAGCTCTTCAAGATGACGTTTCATCGAACTCTATACCACGTGAGGTGGTGGAAGAGGAGGTTCGGCGCCAAGTTCAGCTGGCTCTCCAGGGCCACCAACAAGGGATGATGGATCTGCGAGAAGAAAATCAGCGACTTCGGGATCGGTTGTCGTCTACTCCTACGGTTGCCCCTTCGTTGCCAATGCGAGGTTTCGTACCTGAAGGCACTCGGGCTCATCCGGCAGAGCATGGAGTATCAGGCGGTGATCGGGCCTTTGCAACCAGTCGCGCAGTACCAGAAGGCAATCGGGCTTATCCTGCAGATCATGGAGTATCAGGCGGTGATCGGGCCTTTGCAAACAAACAGCTAGTACCTGAAGGCACTCGGGCTTATCCTGCAGATCATGGAGTATCAGGCGGTGATCGGGCCTTTGCAAACAACCAGCTAGTACCTGAAGGCACTCGGGCTTATCCTGCAGATCATGGAGTATCAGGCGGTGATCGGGCCTTTGCAATCAATCAACCAGTACCTGAAGGCACTCGGGCTTATCCTTATCCTGCAGATGATGGAGTATCAGGCGGTGATCGGGCCTTTGCAATCAATCAACCAGTACCTGAAGGCACTCGGGCTTATCCTTATCCTGCAGATCATGGAGTATCAGGCGGTGATCGGGCCTTTGCTAGTAGTCAACCAGTACCTGAGGGCAGTCGGGCTCACGCTGCAGATCATGGAGTATCAGGCGGTGATCGGGTCCCATCTCAGTTGCAGGATGATGCTAGTCGTGGTGAAGAGTGGAGTCGTCGGCCTAGGTTTGTCCCGTTTGATGAGGAGGTTCCGAAGAACATCTTCACAGGTCGTCTGAGAGAGCCGCTCAGGAGCCTGAGCGCAGATCGAAGGCCAAGGTTGGCACGGAGTCCAACACGTGGTGTCCTGCAATCGCCGAGGGCGAGGAGGGGATCGTTGGCTATGGATATGAGTGAGGAAGGCCTAAGAGCGGGAGGTGGGGATCTTCGACAAGGTCTGAGCGATGGAGAATTTGGCGGTGTCCGGCGCACTGAAGCTGCCTATCGGCCTTCGCCCACGGTGGAAGGGGTCACGTTCGGAGACTATGGTCTTGGTTATCCTCCTGGTCTGGGAGCACAACCTCCTCGAGCACCTCGGGAAGAACTGGTGGATCGTGGCGGCGTCCAAGGGTCTACTCCGACGGAGGAAACGAAGGAGCCTGCAAGGGAGGCCACTGCCCCTAACCCTCTGGATGTGCTGATCACGGGGATGAGTCAGCTGCAGCAGGTCTTGCTCAAGCAGAAGGGTGAGACCATGGACCTCGAGCCGAAGGCGGTACAGGAGTTGGCTAAGCTTCCAGAGTACACCCCGGAGTCCGGCGCTACAGACTTTCAGGACTACTTGTACCTGGCGGAGCAGCAGATTGGGAGCCTGGCATCGGGAGCGGGGGACTGGTGGCAACGGACGTTGAGTGTGGCCCAGAAGGCTTATGCGGAGTACCAGTCCCTGTCGCCGATGAAACGACTAAGTGTGCAGGTGACCTTGCCCGCGGACCTACGGGAGGACAAGTACAAGCGACTGGAGCGCAAGGTGGCTTCCTTGATGTTGGGGTCCTTGCCTCGTGGAGTTCGAGATGAGCTTGTGGCGCACAGAGTGCAGGGGGTCCATCAGATCCTCTTCAGGTTGATGGTGGTCTTCCAACCGGGCGGTGCTCAGGATCGTGCACAGCTTCTTCGGCAGTTGGATGTGAACGAGTCCAGCGCGGGCCCGGCAGAGGCGGTGATAGCAATCCGGCGATGGTACCGGCTCCTTCAGAGGGCATCCGACCTCAACATAGCGTTGCCCGATGAGTCGCTGCAGGTGAGGTCGTTGTCTAACATTGTAAAGAAGACCGCGGACCAGTATGCCGACTTCAAGTTCCGAGTGGCTTCGGCGAAGACGGAGCTGCAGATTGACTCGAGGCCGAGTCAATCAAACGTTATGAGGTTCCTCCAGCACCTTTTGGCGGAGCTTGAGCAGTTGGGTGGCGGGTCCAGACGCGGCCCAGCAACCACGTCCTCTACTACCACAGCGGGATCTGGAGCGACGGCTCCCGCGGGCTCTTCTACCACCTTGAAGGGAATGCAGCAGAGCGTTGAGGATGCAAAGGGCAAAGGAAAGGCTACGCCCCCTGCGCCTAAGAAGGCTTGCCAGTGGTTTGGTACCGATGCTGGATGCAGGAATGGCAAGTCATGTGGGTTTACCCACTCGTGGCAAGGGTTGAACCGTGCAGAGCGATGTTTGCTCTGTGGGAGCAAGCAGCACCGGGCGAAGGATTGCGCTACGAAGGACAATCCGCCTTCGCCTACACGTGCTCCACCGCCACCACCAAAGGCGACAGCAGCAGCTTTATCCACTACTTCCTCGACCACGGCTGTGAGCGGAACTCCAGCGGCGAAGGCGGCTGCGGTGCCACCGATTGTGGTTCCAGATTCGGCCACCCCCATTGGGAGCGCTACCTCCAGTGGAAACAAGATCGACGCGGCCAAGATGACGGAGATCCTGACCGAGACGAACCGGATGCTGAAGACCTTGACGGAGCAGCAGGTTTCGGAACAATCTACTACGGCACCTCCTACGGATCCTCTGGTGTTGATTCAGCAGCAGTTGGATGAGGTTCGAAGGATGAAGGTGATTCAAGTGAAGGGACCTGAGAGCTCTACGGCGCCCTTCTCCAGTGCGGTGGCTTGGTATGAAGCCAGGTTGAGTGCTTCTACGTGTGCTCAGCCCTCCGCTGCTGAAGAGGGCGAAGCGCTCTTGGACAGCGGGGCCAGCCACGCCTACAGACCAGCCTTGTTACCTCAAGATGCTACGACAACCAAGACGGTGACGGTGACATTGGCAACTGGAGAAGAGCGGAATCTTGCTCAGACGGGCGGCGGCACGCTACTGGGGGAGGAAGGGTCAGAAGCCATTGTTCCGATGGGGCAGCTAGTGCGACTTCTGGGCTGCCGTATTTCATGGACCCCGTCGAAACTCACAGTTATCCACCCGGTCCATGGACGCTTGCAAGTCCGACTAAGGGGCCAGTGTCCAGTGATGCCCGTTTCCCAGGCGATGACCTTGATTTCGGAGCTCGAAGAAGCAAGGATAAAGGAGTTTGAGAAGACCGTTGCAGACCTGAGGTCTCAAGTGCGTGTGCTTCGTGAACGGGGCAGGGAAGATTGGAGCTGGCAGCGGCACTTGAAGTCGTTTTGTGAAGAGGGCGACCGTACGTCTATGGCAGGTTTCCTTCACACGTGCCCGGTCTTTGCGGCCCTTCCCCCAGAAGTTCTACTTGGTCTTCCTGAGGCGGTTCCGCCGACCTTGAAGGATGGGTGGAAGATGCTGAAAGGGTTGCCTTGGTCCCGAGCGAAGCGCAAGGTTTTGTTCCAGAGTGACAGCTGGGTTGTCCACCTATGTGTGGGAGACAATCGATCTTGGGAGGCTAAGGAGCAGCAGTCTATGAGACGGGCTATGTGGAGTAGTTCCTTGACCGGGAGCGATGTGATCGTCGATGTGGATATCGCAGACTCCAAGCACATGGATTTGTTACAGCAAGGTGCTGTGTTTCGTGTGTTGGCATGGGCCGCGATGCATGGGAAGATCAAGGCGGTTGTTGGCGGGCCCCCAAGGCATGGTTTCCCGTCTGCTGAGAAGGAGGTGAACTATACACCGCATCAACTCAAGGAAATGAAGCTCGCAGTGCGCCTCTTGTCCTTGTGGTACATCGCCGAAGCTGGAAGATGTGAAGCTTGGAGAAAGGGTGCATTGAAGCAGATGCCTCTGAAGCCTCACGTGGGATTGATGTTGGAACACCCAGCGGCGCAAGAGGGGCAACGTTCAATATTTGATCACTTGATCTGGAAGTCCTTCGCTGAGGAGGAGCTGATGGGAGAGGTGAAGATCGTGATGAATGGCCGGAAAACAGTCCTGGGGAGCAACTTAAACCTTTTGCATCTTGAAGGGGCTTCTTTCGGGGCGCTGACCCCGGGAACTCCAGGTTGCTCAGTGTGGCCGATGGAGTTGGTGGCCCATGTTGCTGGTGCTTTAAGAAGTTGGGCCGGACTACGTCATCGTGAAGGGCTCTTGGCCTCGCTAACAAGAAGGTTGCAATCTCCTGAGGACGAGAAGAGTGGCCTGGCAAAGTTCGATGTGGGTGAATGGAAGCTACATTTGCAACGGGACCATCTGCCCTATAGGAGAGATTGTCGGGTTTGCATCGAGAGAGCCAGTGGAAAACCTCACCGCAAGGTTACTCACCCGTCGGCATACAGTTTGGCAGTGGATGCAGCTGGTCCCTTCAGAGTGAAGGGCGCGGGTGGCTACAAGTACCTGATGGTCGGTTGTTACAGGTTTCCCAAGATGGCGGGCGTTGGAGAGAAGAAAGAGCCGGCAGTTCCTGATGGGGAAGTCGCTCCTGGCCCTGATGATGGTGGCGATTGGATTTCGGATGGCGATCCAGTTGTTCCTGAGGTCGGTGACCCGGTGGAGGAGGCAACGGCCGACGCTGGGATCGAGGAGGCCAAACCGGAGGAGGAGCACTCTTTAGACAAGGAGGTGGAGGCTCTTAGGGAGCTAGCCAAGCCGCTTGAGTTCTCCTCGGTATATCTAGCCAGACCGATGAAGTCCAGGAGTAAGGCGGATGCGCTTAGAGCTGTTCAAGAACTCTACGTGCAACTTCGGAGCCAAGGGTTTCCAGTTTGTAAGCTGCACATGGATCGGGCACGCGAACTTCAAACAGATGCGCTCGAAGCATGGGCCGCGGCACGGGACATTGATGTGACTCGGACCCAAGGCTCGGATCCCCCAGCTAATGGGACTGCAGAAAGGGCTGTTGGTTACTTAAAGTCTCGTATGCGAGTTCTTCTGGGCCAAGCAAAGCAACTTGGTGATGTCGATGATGAGACGTTGCGTTCATGGTGGCCTTTTGCAGCCGAGACAGCAGTTGCCCAGCATCAAGCCCTGGTCTTTCAGCGAAAACTACCTACGGTGGCCCGCTTTGGCTCCAAGGTTTTTACCAAGAGGAAGGGCTATGGAGTCGGAGGTCGTTTCGATCTACAACCTCGTTGGCTGTCGGCTACTTACCTGGGTCCGGCCCGTTCCGTTCCAGGGGGGCATTTGGTGTTCACCGATGAGGGGAACCTGTGGTACACCACCCATATTCGTCAGTTCGAGGACCCTCCGGCCGAGGACGAAGCTTACGAAGCTGAGGCCGATGAGCCTGTCCCGCCTGCTAGGCGAGTTCGACGGAAATCTTCAATTGTTGACCTTGCAGGTGGAGTTGGTTTGATGCCAGGGATGAGTGGTGAGCCTCTCGGGGACTGTGTTGCCAAGGCCGGGTTGAAGTCGATTGTGAAGGTCGCTGAGCAATCTACCAGTTCGTCGTCAGATGAGGTGGTGTCCGAGGCAATGGTGCTTGACAGGTTTGAGGTGCCCTCGGAGTTCTCCCAGAAGGTTGAGGGTGACGGCGATCGAGGTGATCTAGCAGCAGAATTTCTACGTGATGGCCGTTTCACAATGGAGGACTGTTTAAGGGTCTTGGAAAATGAAAGGTTCCTGAAGACCAGGAAGCAGAGAGCCTCGGCGTGGAAGGACAATGAGGCACCCCAAGTGCATACCACGTTGGGAGCATATCAGCGGGGACCTTGGTCGGGTGTTACGACAGCTACTACCAGGCATCGATCATTGACCGAGTACTTGGTCGCGCTGTACCAGCACCATTGTGGTCCGGGTGTTACTTTTACCTCTATGACTGTGGCTAGAGACTTGTGCACGGATGCCCACCGAGACAAATTCAACCTACGCAATTCCAAGAACTATGTGATCACCGTTGGGAAT